AATGTATTTGAAAAAAATTTGCGTATTAATATAGATATTATTAAGCACTAACGATTCTCTTTGACCAAAAATAGGATTGTTTATTGTTTCTTTTAATTGATTTATAAAATCTTTTACTTTTGACAAATGGCTGTGTAGTAGCTGTTCAGCGACTAGTTAAATTTTACGAACCATTGCTCGAAGAATGAGCTTGCGTTCATAGTGCAGCTTATGAAACAGATGTTTGTTGTAGCTGCCAACCAATCGGCGTAATCTCAGATACATATATCGCTGCTTGTCCCGCCAGCAATACTCGTTACTTGCATTAGGCACCCGCAAGCATGTGAACCATGCGCGTCTTAAGACATATTTGAGATGCATGCTGACCTAGAAATTAAATAGATGGATTGAACCATATTCTATATATAGGGTACCCTATTTTAAATGACGACCTCAAATTTCTCTTGAACAGTGCATTTTAGAGAAAAATTCAGACAAAAGTTTTGTGACTTCGAGGGGGACATAAAATGATATTATTGATTTGACCTTTTAATGGCATTGTCAAGGTCAGGACAAAGTTATTTTAAATTTTTCAAATGGAACTCCCCATTTTTTATTACGTGTTCTTTTAGCTTACCTCGACAGCTTTTCAAAATACTATAATAAAATATTTTTTTATTAAGTATTTTTCGAGTATAAGTCTTGAAAGTTACAGTACTACCGGCATTAGAATTACCCAAGGTGTCCGACCGACGGCTAAAACCTCTTGAATGTTGTTCAAGAACATCTCCTGAATAACTTTGTTTAGATCAAGACCATTGAAGATTATTCTTACTTTATTTATCTTACTTTCATTTTTGCACTAAAAATTTATTTTAAGATAAGAGGTACATACAATCTTCAATGGCTTTGATCTCAACAAAGTAGTGATCTCAAGAGAAATTTGAGATCGTCATTTAAAATGGGACATCCTGTACATCGCTCTTTTACTTCAAAAGTAAACAAGCATCTATTCCATAAATATATTAATTATCCTGAATAATTTGATTTTTTTTTAATTAACACAACTAAAAAAAAATTTCCTAGAAAAGAGGAAAAACTGGGTAGAAAATTATTAACTAATCAAACAGCAATTAAAAAAGTATTCTTAACAATCTTAACATGATCCAATGTCATTTTTGTCATTTTTATTTCATAAAAACTTAAAAACTATTCTTTTTGAGTTGATTCTTTTTTTAATTATTTTGAGTTGTGATGATTTTGACAATTTTTTTTTAAATTAATTTATTTGTAATGATTGAGCGGGTAATGTTAACTCATTCATAGTAATAATTTGAGAATCATTAAAAAAATTTTTTTAGTTGCGTCATTGAAGTAAAGTAGCGATATGTATAATATGCAATATCCATAGGCTCTATTTTGATTTAAATTCTTATAATTCTCTTTGTTGCTTAAGATTTTCACTTAAGAAATGTTCATATAATATTAAAGAAATATCGCTATTAATGATCTTTCTTGACTACTTTAGATAATCAAAATTTGAAAATTTAGATTGCTTTACGAGACATTTTTAGAAATTCTTAGAAATGTTGAAAATTTTGAATGCTTGAAATTCTTTAGAAAGTTTCCTTAGAATTAGAAATCTTTTGGTTTTAAAATAAAATATAAGAGAAATTCTACAAATTATTAAAAATAAAATAAAATTTCTTCTCTCAAATCTTAATATCTTATAAAATATCTTAATAATCTTATATATAAAACAAAATAATTTGAGATAATAAAGTTTTATAAATGTAAAAGGAAAAAATTTATTGTTGAAAAATTCAAGATTTCACGAAATTCAATATATAAATTCAAGAGACTTTTAAAATTAAAAAAATTTTTAGTTTTAAATAATATATGGATTTTTGTAATATTTAAATGTGCCAAAATATTCGATGTGTCCTGTTCATCACTAAATATCACATCTTCAAAAATTTTTGACTCTTTACCACGGGATTGTCAGTTCTTGATGAAATCCTAAAGGATAGCACCTGCCGACCTTCTTCCAGACAGTCCAGAACGTCGACTATCTTACATCCTGAGATCAGCGCAGATCTATTGACGATTTGTCTTTACTGATCATTGCTTAAACGAACATGAGCGATAGCTATTCGATCGAAGATTGTTGATTCATTAATCGAACGCTGATAAGTGACCGCCAAATTAAACGGTGAGATGATGAAAATAAGGAGATTACCCATTTATTTTGCGTTCAGTAACTTTTTCGAAGTGATCCATGAAATTCTCGCAAGTGCGTGCGAAGATCTGCAGGTCGATGTAACTAAAGACGCGCGACTCCTGGCAAGGATTGAAGACCGTCTGCAGTAGGCAATTGAGATTATCGAGGATTCTACCGCCGTAGAAGCAGGAGATGGGTAAATCACGTGATCTATTTAATGTAAATAAAATAGGTAAGGAAGTATTGATTCTTTTTTTTATACATTTACGCGCGCGCGCGCGTAAAAAAATTTAACGGAATTCTTTTTCTTAAAATTAATGCTCATTCAGCAAAAAATATATTTTAAATCGGAGGAGAATATTCGAATAAAAATCGATTAATTAATACATTATGATTAATTAATATATTAATATTTAATAATACATTAATGTTAAAGTTTTTTTATCTTATATTATTACGGAAAAAATCCTTTTATAAATTGTAAAAAGATCTTTTCCCATCAATATATCTTTATTAAAAATGATCAAAATTTGAATTAAAAAAAAAAGATTTTAAAGCTTGAAATCTCTACTTTTGAATGGTCGCTATATTTTTTGAATTTATGTGAGTTTTGTAATTTTCACATATAGGAAACTACTGAAAAAAGTGAAAATTTTTTTTTCACTTTGCAAGTCTGTAGCATGCCCAAAAAAATTTGAACAAATGTTTGATTATCTATCGTGAAAGCTTTCCACTCGAAGCTTTCCACAAAATCGTTTTTTTTTAATGTTCCTATGATTTTTTGTTTCTAAGTTACTCTCGGATTAAATAAAAGACATTCTGACTTTATTGCTCGTAACTAAGTTAAAAATTATCGTATCGCAATTAAAAATACAGATTCTTAAAACTGAAACGTTGCTCTATCAAGTTGTGTAATTGCCAATTTTTTAAAAATAGAATATATGGATTGCTAAAAGTTGTTTTTGCCAACTTGTAAAAAGACTTTCCCCAATATATCATGTTTTAATCTTTAGAAATTTTAAAAAATATTTAGACTCCGGAGAGAAGATACAATATTTAGCACAACAAATATGAGAGTGTATATTTTTAAATTATAAAGATATGGAAGAAAATATTGAATATAAGCAATTTCTTAAAGTTGATAGCAAACAGATTTAAATGGAGAGATTTAAAAATTAATCCAATAATCCAGTAATCTTAAGTAAACTAGCAGGATTTTACAACCAAATAGCAATAATCTAATATAAATTCATCAGTTTGAGGTTGAAGAATTTAGAAACCTTGGATGGGTATATCGCCATGTGACTGCCTTCAGCATTCGATATTGGCAGCGAATAAGTTCCAGCGCGTTAAAAATTTTGTTGTACTCTACTAATTCCGTGTTAGTCTTTACGTTGTTCATGAGGTCTTCCGTGCGTTTTATTGCAATCTCAAGCTTGGTGCCAGCCACTAGAAATTCACTGTTCAGTACCGTGGCAGCAATGTCGTAGCAGCGTCTATTTAACAATTAGGATCAAGGAAGAAAAGAGTAGAAGTATCTAGACTTCTTTAGAAAATATAAGTTTTTAAGAAAAGCTGGAATTTAAAAGATTGATTTTGAATTTATAAACAAGGATTTAGAATTTATAATTTTTAAGAAGAGCAAGAAATCTCAAAATTCTCTTTTAAATCTGATGGTTTTGAAGTTGACAGATCTAAATGATTTAATTTTAACATCAAATTCTTCTTTCTACGATTTCCAATTTCGAAATTTAAGATCTCAAAGAAAAATACTGAAGTATATTTAGGATCACAGTTATGCATTGCAATACAGAACAGTATAAAATCTATCCATTAAAAAAATATTTCCTAAATATTTAATACTTAAATTCACAATATATTCCAAAAATTAATAGTAAATTAGGAAATTAATTAGAATAAATATAGATGATCGATAAAATTCTAATAATTGTCTAATTTGTTCTTGTAATTTTTAAAACTGCCTTTAATTTTGCTAAATTGGCAGAGATCTACCTGGAGACTAGACGAACAGTGCAGGCTACGTCGTGTAATGGTAGCATCTTCAGGATGATACTGAGGATTTCCGGCGGTAAATTATCCAACGTGTATCCGACACTCTTGCATCCTTGTGCGTCCTGTCTGCATCGCGAGAATACTCTCCGCCGTTTCGCGCCCATTTGACTCCTTTTGGATTTCGTCCTTGCTCGCGATCGTGAGCAATTACAATCGATCGCGATCAATCATGAAAATTACGTGCGTCCTCGCATACCGATCACGATTGAAAGGATTTTTTTTCGGTTATAGGACAGGAATTCTCGAAATTTTGCAAGAATCTTTTGAGGAGTGAGAACTCTCTAATTTGCACGAAACAAAAGAGTCTTATATCACAATTCTCTCCTATCATTGTGATAACTTCAATCTGAAGACAAGCGAAAAGCTATGGCCTATGATTGAAATGAATATACATCTTCCTTGATTCTAGATGATACAAGTCTAAAAATATGCTAACTTTATTTTTAAAGATCTTTTAAATTTCTCTGTATTTCTACAAAAACTATCATAATAACATTCACAATTCTTACTGCTGTATCAATATAATTAGCTTAAATTTTGTTTTTAAATTATTTTTTCTTCAATGAATCATTTCTTAAATTATTTTTGTACAAACATCTCGATATTATTATTTTCAAAATCTGTTTTTGAAAAAAATAATTAGCATATAGTATTTTTCTTTTAAAAAATCTGTATAAAAAATAAATACAGAGATCAAGGAATAAAGCGAATACAAGAAGTAACTTCATTGGTTCAAGATTTATTTTTTTATATATTTCTCGTAAAGTATAGAATGATAAATTGAATATAATCGGCATAATGTTCACATGGTTTTGATTTGTCAATTATTAAAGTCAATTAAGTTTTTGTTTGTCATCCAACTTGAAAAAGTTGTCATTTGAACATATTACTTTCTGGTCGTTGAGTAACTTTGGAATACTTTAAGATAAATTTCACTTCAGAATTCCAAAGATCCAAAAAAATTGACACTTTCAAAGATCTAAATGTAAGATAGTATCGATCCAAAATTTCATCTTTCAAGCAACTATTCGAAAGATTTAAAGTAAGAATTCAATTTTCCAAGCATTCACAGTTTCAAGGAATCCGTCTTCTAAATAATAAAAGTTCCAGGGGTCGAATCACCTAAACATCCGAAGTTCCAAAAAGCCAAAGTACAAAAGGCCCAAGGTTCCAAGGATGCAATATTCTAATCTGGATCGATCCAAAAAAGTTCCGAGGAATTAAACTCTTACAGTTGAACATGAAGGATCCACAGTAATCTTTTTAGACGACAAAGGCCTCTTCGACTCTTCTTATCCGCCAAAATTTACTGGCATTAACAAAGTGAATTTGGCCTGATCAATGTTTGTCTCTTCGGCTGCGCACGGCCCAATGCTATCTAACAAACTTTGTATTGCGCTCTGATTACTTGGATGCTTTCTCTTGGTATGTTCGCGACGATGCTTGAGCTCTTTGAACGTTTTACCACATTGCTCGCAGGAGTACGGCCTGGCAGCCTCATGAGAGCGTAGATGACCCTCGTAGTGGCTCTTCCTGACGAATTTCTTACCGCATAGACCACAGTCATACTGAAAACGACCTTCATGAGCGGCCACGTGCGAGCTCAGAGTCCACTTGGTTTTGAAAGTTTTTGAACAGTAATCGCACCTAATCTTCGAATCGTTTTTGTCTGTCCTTCGAGGATCCTTCTTTATCAATAGCATCTCTTCCAGAAGGAAGTCGTCCTCGTTTTTCACAATTGTTGATGACTTATCTATCATCGCTTGATGACTCTGCAGCGTATTCCTAGTATGTGTGTCTTCTTGCTTCAAGTGATTGTTCTTTGGCGTTATCTAGACAAATAATAATACATATAATTATTTATATATAATTTGAGAAACAAATTATATACAAAATATAACCATTTCGTTTTTATTGTATTATCAAAAATTTATTTAATTGTTTCTGTTATTGCTCTAATTAATTAAGAATTCTAATTGTTTAAGAATTAGAAGAATATCGAATAAAAAAATCGTACTTTGCCATGTGAGACCAGATGAGCTTTGAGTTTATCCTCATCGTTATACCTCTTCGTACATCGCGGACAAGGATATCCGCCTTTGTTTTCTGTATCGCGCACTTTTTGTTCAGTTTGCTGCAGCTTTTCCTTGCGCATCGCGTGCCGAGCTATGTGCCGCTTCAAATCGTGCAATCTAGAAAATGCTCGTCCATATCGCATGCATGTAGGAAAGGGACAGCCTTTTCCACACGTCCTGTTCCTCGGACTGGAAAAAAAAGTACGTATTTAAATTTTCCAATCCTAAACTTCTAAATACCACTAAAGACAAACATTATTCAATATAAGTAATTGTTTATTGAAAATTAATTGAAAAGATAAAAGTAAAAATTGACTTTAAATGAAAAATGGTTGGAGTAACTAAAATATTGAAGAAATTCTAAAGGACTTAATAATTTAAAGAATCTGAAAATTTAATCATTAAGAAATTTAAAACTCAACAAAACTGAATTTATATACCAAAAATATTCTTATTACATCAAAAATAAAATTGTTCGATTCAATATATGTAAATCATATGTAAATCATATGTTTTATTCAATATATGTATTTTTCAGATTATGTAGAGACATCTAGAATTCACTCAGATTGTGAAAGAATCTAGAGAGAAAAACTCGCTGTTTTCTGTACCTTCGAGGAGGATTGACAATTACTGGGACTGCCCGTTTTGTATCACTGCCATAATCCTTACTATTCTTGTCGACTTTCTGACTAGCCATTGTGGTCAGCTGTGCTGATAACGGTATCACGATGGAAATAGTTTCATTGGACCCTGGTGTGACGATAGGCCCAACATGAATCGCTGGCGGCGTTGCTAAAGATATACCGCTCTCGTTGCTCCTACTCATGTCGATTTCGTCCAGGAAGAGTATTTGTTAAGGTAGAATCTGCACAATATGTTACAATTATTAATGTTGAAATCTTGTTTTTGAAATTATTATCAATACTATTATTCATCAAATAGGAAAGAGGAAATCCTGGCCATAACAATCTAAGCTGAGATCTTTTTAATGCTTAACTAATTTAAAGTGAATTAATGTATATTATTATTATTTATGGATTGTTGATCACATAAACGTGAGATATTAATTTCGAAAATAAGATAAATGGAGAAGTACGAAAGTTTAATTAAATAGAGTTTAATTAAAGAGATTGTTGCATGAACGATAATAGTTTCTTAATTATTATTAAACGTTCATTCAATTAGTGAGATACATATTAGAATGATTAAAGAAACATCTATCTACAATGTAATTTGTTAAAAGTTTGGATATAATTTAAATTATAATTATTAATTATAAATCAATTTGATTTCATAATTATTAAATGAAAAAATATTTAGATAAAATATAATAAAGTAAAGTGTATATTAAACGTGTGTATATATATATATTTATTTATTAAAAAATTTTAGAGATAGTAAAGAATATATAAACATGTGTGCGTTTACTCTATTATTATTAAATATTTATATACTTATTAGCGAGTTACGTACTAAAACATTTTAGTAAAGACACGCTAATTGGTATAAATTCTTCGCATATCTTGTTAACAAATGCTTCGTTAATTGAATTTCATGTATACAATTTAATTTTGTTTAACTATTTAAGCTAAAGGAATAAAAATATAATACTTAACGTAACTTTGTTTATACACTATTCGAAAAATAAATATTATACAAAATATTATAATAATTATTATGAAAATAAATAAAAAAACAAGTATTCTTATTTAATAAAACATGATTTTTAAATTGTTGTTCGCATTTCCGTTAAATAGAATTTAAAATATTAATAATTTGAAAATATTAATTATCTTCTATCTGGTTTTCAACATTTTAAAATAGAATACATTCTAAAAGTATTAATAACTTTGTGTATCATTTTTACTAAAATTGAGAATATATATACATATATACACATAAAGTAATTATATATATATACATTATACACTAATCTGAAGTTTTTGCTGCAACATACTGTACACAGATGTACATATATACACGAATTTCAGAAGGGTAGCGTTAAACCGCGATCGATGGGAGACAACCTATCGCCGTATCATCATTCTATCGCCTCCATGGGAAATAAAAAAAAATCAAGAATTGGATCAGCATAATTTTGGAAATCCTTTGCGCAGAAATCTCTACGTTTATTCGTGACAAATGGAAACGCGATGTTTCATTTAAAGCGCACATCGTAAATTCGAAGATAGATATACATCTGGTTTCGATCCCGGAGGCGACATAAAAATGCGAAAGTGTCGCCAACAATCATCGTGGCGATCGAGACATCCTCGTAAGAGCTTATACTTAATTATTGTTAGAAAAAATAAGTACTTTCCAGCAGGAGAATCAGATGACATAGACAACACAGCGAATCATTCCATTTTCGTTTAACATTGATAAACAACAAGAATGTAATTTTTTTTAATGAGCGTAAAATCAAAAATAGTTGTCTCTTATTGAAAAGCACCCAATATTCTTCTTCTTTACTTTATGGCATCTTTCTGAAGTAGGACTATTATTTTTGACTGATTTGAAAATTCGAATTTTTTCGACACTCTGAAATTTAAGACCTTCAAAGCCTTCGAAAAGTACATTCGTGCGAATGACGAATTTAATCAAAAAAATGCTAAAAATATTGTAAACAAAAGAATGAAAATATATGCTGGAAAAATGTGATATATATATATATATATATATGTATATATATATATATTCTACAATGCAAAACAATATAATCAAAGATTTTTCTAGAGAAAGCTTTCTGCATCGATATTTTATCGCATGTATTCACACGACTCTGTTTTAAAAAACAG